CTTCACTGGGATATAACAGGTCATGCAATACCGTGGATTGATTGAATTTGGATATGAACACCGTTGGATACAGACTCAGTGGTTTAGAGGTTAAGTGTTCGTGCTCGAGATTTCGGGTGATTTCATGTTTTCAGTGATTGTAAGAATTTGAGATTTTGGTGATCTTAATTTAATTCCACAATCTGCACAGTCCTACACAAACACTGAAGTTTAGTCTGATCTACTGCATCATTTCCGTATTAATTATAAATCAAAGTTCGATGTTACAGCTTAGCTTGCAGTGCATCCGGGGATTCTATGATACGTCTTATTTCTGGCCATCGACTTTTTTGATCTTTTTTAGCTATAAGATTCTATCAGATTTGTAAATTAGACCATATTGTTAAACTAACACTTCATACACTCCAGTACTTTTTAAATGGAGACTATAACGTCAACTATGCGAAGAGTTGAAACCATTGGTATAATGCTATGCGATTTTATCCCAATTGCAATGGGAAAAAAAAGATCGAAAGCAGTGAGTAAGATGCAAAAAACTTACTATCATAAGTCCGGAATATTTCTCTTTGGCTGCTTTCTCTTGAGAAGGAATTCAAAATCATTATCTGAAAATCTTTTAAATGTATACTATGACATTAGTTAATAAGCTTATCTTGTTTAGAAGCTTGAGAGCTCCTTAAGGATTAATTATCACCTTTCATGCCGCGAAGCTTAATAATGATGTACGCTTGATCTATTAGAATGTTCTAAATTCATTGACTGTACTGAATGTTGCACCGGCAATTTAGAAATAAAATACCGAACGACTGATTACCCAAACAAATTTCACTGTATAAAAAACATTAATAAATGTGTAGATCCTATTGAATAAACTATTTCGGACATGAATATAAACCTGTTCTTATCTTCTTAACTAGAACTAATACATTGAGATAATGTATAAAATGAATGTATAAAATATCATGGCATTATTTTGTTACTTATAAAATAATCAGTAGTATAAATAATCTGTAGAAGCTTTACGTAGCCTCACAAAACTTCAAAACTCAGTCATCTTAATTAACCATATCGTTTACTAGATCGGTGGACAGAATTTATTACAGCTTTTTCAGTTTAATCCATTCTTTATGAAGGAGTGAAGTCAATCTGAAAATTAACATCTTAAGCTATTGCTCGATTAGTTTCTTTTTGCATCAATTTTTTGATACTAAGGACTAAAACTGTTCTGTCTCTGCTTCAAAATCCTGAAATGTTTAATAGTACCATTTTTAGTAGAGTTGTATATTGGCTTTCTGTGTATTTCATAGTGTTTATTCCTTTCTAAATAGAATTTGTCTGCTGAATTTACCAGTCAGGATGAACTTACATCGAAAGAAACTGATTATTTGCATTACTTACTATCAACAGTATGCCAGTATGCCGTTAAAACTATATTTTCTACACAGTCTAGAATCCACATAAATTCAGTAGCTCAGCAGATAACAAACAAAGTTCATTGCGTTTGAGTCTTTTTGCGAATACCAACAGGGGTTTTGAAAATACATCCACATAACTAGTCACAAATAAGACTAAACGAGCGTCCTGAATTCCACTGGTAGCCAATAACCTATTTTAGTTAAAAAATATTGATCGACTAGTTTAAAGTTCCTTTAGATTATTATTATTATTATACCATTATTTATGTTGAGTAACAGAGTCATTTGTGCAAAGAAGAATAATTTTCCAACCATATTGGTTTTTAATTTATTGTTTATAATAAATAAGATGTGAACCAAAATAGTTAAAGTGAGATTTCCAAATCATCTAAAACTTTGACTAGTGATTATTCAGCTGCCTTTTTTTTAAAAACTTTGATTTCACCATAAAATAACGTTTATACTAACTCATATTGTTACCAGTTTCAATATAATTGTACCTAGGCTAAACAGATTTTGTCTTAATTTGAAATCTCATTGTTTTTACAACATATGTATGTTCTGATAGTTGAAATAATGAATCAATTAAAGTTAGGTCATCACAGAAAACCTCGAAGCATTGGATGGCCGTTTCTTCCTCTGGTGGGACTCCTCAGTAGTGTGCATCCACGATCCCGCCTCACGAGATTCGAATCCAAGACCTATCAGTTTCCATACTTTCCAGGATTTCCATAGTGGTTTAGCTTCAATTGATTGATGATCTCAACTATCAAAATTACTATGATATCCACAAAAACATTTCGGACAATTATATATGTTTAATGAAATGTTTTACATTTTGAGAAAGAACAAGACTGGAATATCTCTTGTTAAGCAAAATATTCATTTTTGGTATCTCATATTCAACGTGAAAAATTACAGAAAAAGCTTGGAATCTTTCTACTCTACCATTAAAAATGAACTAACGATCTATATTTGATTATTGAATAAAACTTTTTACATGTATAATAATCTTCTATTTTCTTCCATGAAGTTTCTTCTGACATTGAATATTGTCAAATGAATCAGATTAAAATTCATTATGATGTTGACAATTTGAACATTATTTGTCATTGTATCCAGCGAAACCGTTGAAAAGCCATTGATAACCAGAAACTATAGGATAGTTATCTTATTCTAAACTACAATTATTTTACAGATACAAATCGAAGAATATTAGATTTATATCTGTTGATTGATTTATCTTAAAATATGCTAAAATATTACTGAATAGTTACTCAGAGTTGTTCAATTTTTATTAGATCAACAGTTAATGTCAGTTCTGAAAATGAATTACTACCATATAATTCCTTTAATCAGATTTTCCATCAAGCATGACAGACACAGACAGATATTATCAATATAGAGCCTGGAACAGACATCCATTAGCCAAAGTTGACATATCACATTAGCACAAAGACATTAAATAAACATAATTTATTGTAAAGCGATCGAAATATTATAGAAGTAATGAAAATGAGAAACCTTGTAAATATGATTTTAAAAGACAGAGTGAAAGCTGTATATGAAGGGGTACTGGAATCAAAATTAGAGTGAGAAAGGAATTATGAATGCCTATTATCTTTTGAGAAAGATTCTGGGTTATTTCACCCAAAGTCTCCAACCTTTGGTTGTGGTTGTCAGGCTAACCTTATTTAGTTTGCCTGAATCTACTAACATGAATTAGAGCAATAGTCAACAACTCCTTCGACTAATAACATATTTTGGTTTGGGACTCCTAATCTTTTTTCAGTCTACTACAATACTAGCAAGAATCGAGGACCAAAGTGGAATTTGGTCATGCATATGTAGTCCATATCCTAACGATTTCAGTCAATGAACTTTCACTACCTAATCAAGTGATCACTAGTCAAAGAAACTGTATAAAATGTGAATATTTTTGTCGCTTGGGAATTTTGTTGAGACATTTCTAATTAATCATTTTACTACTGACATCATTGGTTAATATTGGTTGGATGAACACTGAAACCTAGGAAGCATAGGACAGTTGCTGAGTCCTAGTATGAGACTTCTCACACGAAATCAAATCCATTACCTTCATGTTTCACCCAGCTTGCCTAAATTTTGAACCAATCAACTGACGTTCAACTTCAATAAATTCATAATGTTATGTGATTATCTTCTAATATCATCGGCAGGTAACACTATGATACTATATATGGCTGAATTCCAATTTTTGGATTTTTGATCCCAGTTACACTATAAAGTTCTTTGTCGGTGTTTTAAAAAACGACATCTGTAAATGCGGTTAACATATATATTTAATAAGTAAAATAAATCAGTATCAATTACGTTTATTGTATCAGTTGCATGATTGGAAAAATAACATATTTCGTACTGAAACAACTATTAATAACTTCCAAATTGGTTGGTAGTATCTACGTTTACTCCTGCATATGAGCCTCAAACGGTAGAAACGAGGTAGGAAGTATAAAATACTTCACTTTCAATCTGGTTTATGCACATGAGTATTTATTAATTTAGGGGTGATTTTAACATTTTGAAAACTTGAAGTGTGGTCTGCTTATATCCATATAAGTAGTATATGGTGATGATCAGACATAGAATGTATTTTGGCAGAAAACCGATAAGGAAAGAACTGAAATGAAACACAATTGGTACGAAACTGCATGAACAATAATAATCAGAGAAGACGGACTGATATTTGCCGAAAGAAACAGTGAAGATTGAGACAATTGATTGTTATTTTGCAAATTAACTGTTTATCGTATGGTTATCAGAATTTAATGAGGTAGTTTGTAATTTTTGCCTAAATTCATTCGATTGTCCACAACCAGTGTTTTTTTTCACTACAAGCTTCTAGGAAACACATTTAATGATAGTGTGATACAATCTTGCATATTTCTGAATGTTTCAAACAAGTTTCCATTGCTCATTGTTAAGGCTAAATGGTTTTTAACTTTCTCCTAGTATCTACAAATCTCTTCAAAGAATTTTCGAGAGCTCTCATTATAAAATTTACAGTAATTCGATGTACATTTATTGACTTAATATTAGCATAGTTATAAATGCCAAAATATTTTTGATATTGTTTATATCACAGATTACTGGTACACACACATATCAGTTAATAAGTAACTGATTCTCATTATTCATTATTCTAATTCATACCGATCTTTACATTAGTTCATCTAAGAATGAATATCTTTACTGGTCAACCTCATCCAATCCAGATGATATTGTAATACACATGCACATTTATGTTGATCAATCAATATCCATTAAATTATCAAGTCATTACTATTGTCAAGTTCACCATTGGTTTATTGTTTATAATAATAATAATAATAATAAACTTTTCACTACTATTATCATTATGGTTCTGATGATGATGATGATCAGAATGATTCTAGCTATAATAATCAATTAATCGAACAGACGAAACATTTCAACAGTAATCGTCTTGACGCGGAACACTTCGTAGACATTGATTCAGGATACTTTATTTACCTAAAACAATACTATTCATCGTTCAAGCCATTACCATTAATAATAATAATAATCATGGCTTATTCAGGTTATTCCACAGATAATTCTGATTCAGATCAAACTAATACATATCCACTTAAAGAAAAGTCAACATTGAAAAAACGTAGCAAAAGAAATCATCATCGTAAACGATTTGGACGAATGGCTAAATCATGGAAATTTATGAAACTAAGAAAATTATGGGAAAGGGATATGGCTAAACAAAGGTAAATCATAAATTCAGGTAAAAAAGTAAAGAAACTCTTTCAACGTTTAAATTTTTCCTATGGCAGTTTTCAAAATTAAACTGACGTCAAATTGAAAACTATGGAAACTTACGAATCATTGGACAACATTTTTCTTTTATCTTAGACAGGAACTACTCAGAATAAAATACGTAGATTTAATCTTATGGAATCAAACCAACGACTGTCAGTTTTCGTTGTTAGCCTGATAACATTACATCATGTGGCTGTCCTATACTCTGAACTTTAATTAGCTGTTATTTAATCGATGTTAGTTTATGCTAGAAACTATTTTCAAATAGTGTTGTGTTTCATCAGTTATTTCAGAGTTGTTTTTCTTTCTAAAATTATACAGTTTCAGATTGCAAATCAGACAAGTACTTGACTGAGCTATAAAACTTATAAAATAAACTAAGTTTATTCGAAAGTGGTTTTGTGGAGATTTCAGTATTTTCATAGTTGAAATCATGATTCGAGTGAAGTTAGACCACCAAGGAAAACCTAGAAGCACTGGATGGCCGTTTCATCCTACTGTGGTACTCCTCAGCAGTGCACCGTTGGATGCCGGCTCAGTGGTCTATCGGTTAAGTGCTCTAGCGCGAGACTGGTAGGTCCTGGGTTCGAATCTCGCGAGGCGGGATCATGGATGTCCACTGCTGAGGAGTCCCACAGTAGGATGAAACGGATGTCCAGTGCTTCCAGGTTTTCCTTGGTGATCTAATTTCAATTGACTCATGATTTCAACTATGAAAACCAAGTTTAGTTGAGATTGTTTCTATGACGATGATTAGTTTCTTCATTATAATTCCCTATATCAATTTTTTTTTCATTTTCATTATGTAACTGTTATTATTATTACTATTTACTTTTACAGAAGTATATCAGCACCTTTTGTTTCAATTAAAGCCAATAATAAATAGTAAGTTTGAAATTTATACGAAGTAATAATAATAATTATATATTAAACTTTGTGATTATGTAATAAAAATAATTCTATGCAGCAAGATAAATCGTAACCCTGAAATAAATGTTCTCAATAAAATTATTTTAATAGTTGAATTCATTAGTCGATGTAAGCTAGTCAATCATTGAAAATCTGGGAATACTGGACGGGCATTTCGTCCTAGTATAGGACTCCTCAGTAGTGTGCATCCATGATCCTGCTTGTGAGACTCGAACCCAGGACATTCTGTCTCATTTAAAAACGTTTAATCTCTAAACCGGCATCCAACAGTGATAATGTTCAACTTCAATCAACTCATGAATTCAATTAATAAAATTGCTATAATCTTCACGAACCCCTATTCTGATCAGTTTGCTTAAAAAAAAAATCAAATTTAGGACATGTTCAAATGTTTCTTTGAAAAGAAATATCCACAATTCTACCCGAAGTGTTTACTGATAATGTCGTTCAGAAGGACAATGAAAGCTCCACGACCAAACGATCCAGCTCAGAGAACGAAACTCCATCAAAAACAATTCTATACTAAAAGTGTTATTATACACTACAAATATTTTTTAAATTTCTCTGTATGAATTTATTGTAAACAAATCGTAAGTACACAATAAATTATCGATAAAATAAGTAGTAACTAACGTTCTATTTCCAACTTATATATCCTTAATTTTTCTCTTTGAAGGTGATAAGAATTATATAAATATTTCAAAGATAATTAAAAGCAGGTCTCCTTTAAATACTAAATTATTTTATTTATTTAAATACATAAATATTGGTACAAAAGGGCACCAGATACATATGCGCCACACAAATCTCATTTGATTTGTGTGAGGGCTGTGATACTGCACAGGTGCCCAAACTGAAGCAGGTGGTTTTCTTATGGGGCCACACCCCGAGCCTTTGGCCTGAAGGTCTAGTCCACAAGGCAGTGGAGCATCGTAAAAGGATGCAGTCTCATGGTAGCCGGTGACCAACAATTGATTCATACGCCATTTGGTCCCTCAGGATACTGGAACCAGCCCATGTTCACCATTGTTTTGGAATCAGGGTTTTCCAATTTCCCTAGGTGGACTTTCCGTGTCCACCAACCCGGTTGAAGCAATGGACATTAGCTTTTCGTCCTCTCATTTTCGTAAACAACACCCGTAGTGCGAGAAAATTTGAGTAGGATTTTCCTGGCTGTAGTTGTATGTACGTGGTCATTACGAGAAGATGAGCGGACTCTCCCCACTCTCGGCCGTACCTGGACGTTTGGGGGCGATCGGTCTTTTATTCTATGTTACTTGATTGACTAATTACACCTCAACAATACTCGACTAGATAATCTACTGGAGAAAATTCAGATGGTAACTACTTAGTCATTACATATATTGGATTTATAGGTTGTACTCATCAATGATTGATCTCGATTAAGTTACATTTGAAAAGCGGAAAGATGTTCCTTTTTATTATAAGACTTCTCAAGAGGTACACACTAGCTGCTTAAGCAAGAACCGTACCCATGATCTTTAGGTCTTTAGGAGATTTCTTAACCATTAGTGCTTCTTACTAAAAGTTCTTTTTGAAGTGATTCATGAGATAATTAACTATGATAGTCTAGTTTAAAAAAATTGTTTTGTGAAGACTGGTTTTATTCATAGTTTTCTAGTCATCATTACTTTTATATATTACCGTTGATAATAAATCAGAATAATGTTGAATTATAAATAAATGAACAATGTACATGTAAACCATTGAAATACAATTCATTGATTGAGATTCAATATCTGAACGTCCTAATCTCATGAAACCATATCTAGTTATAAATACAAATTGTTACATAAGTCTCTAACTATAAATTCATATCACCTTAGTGTTATCAATTCTTTTCAATAGTTTCCAATTAAGTGTCAGTAAATGACAAAAAAATTATAAACAATCATAATATAGACTAACATAAACACATATAAATATGGATGTCATATCTATTTCTGTTTTACTATAGTGGTAGAGTTTGTATTTAAACTTAACTAATTGTTTATATCAAGTTAATTCAAACAAACATCTACTGAATACAAATTATGTAATGATAAGTGTTTAAAACCTATTATCTTAATGTAACAATTATATTAAACAAAATTTCATAGCTTAACATTAATAAATATAAAAACAAATAATGAATGATTCGATTTAGTAATATTAAATAGTGGCCACTAGTAGAGTCAATACTTGAACTAAGTATAGGGAGTGTGAAATAGTCGAACGCATCGACAACTTCACTTATCTTGGAAGTCTGATCAGCTCTTATGGGTTGATGTCTGACGAAATTTCAGCATGGATTCAAAAAGCTCGTTTGGCTTTTGCCAACTTACGTCACCTTTGGCGGAGAAGAGATATCCGTCTAACAATTAATTGATGAGTATACTGCACAGCAGTTCGCTTTGTTCTACTTTAAGGCTGTGAAACGTGGCCATTAAGAGTAGAAAATACTCGTAAGTTACTAGTATTTGATCACAGATGTCATAGAAAAATTCGCTCACATCTTCTGGGATCACCGGGTAAGTAGATGCAGGGTATTAGGGATCGGCCAAACCAAAATGTGGCATCAGAGTTTGAAGTGATTAACTTGTAGTCTGAGCCATTTTGGTAGATGCAGACTACTTGGTTGGGGTCCGCGTGACTATCGTAATCAATGATTGAAGACTCTGGGTGACATAGCTTAGAATCGATCACAATATCGTGGGAGCATACATTCTCTGTGTTCCTTTAAACTATGAGAAAAAAATTGCTTTGTATCTTTCTATCTTCCTGTACAAAATCCTTATACACAATCTTTCTTTTATATATTGATACCATTGAAGTAACTACTTCTACGAATTCGACGTTCATCATGTTGTGCTAACGAGGTATGGCAACTTGGACTGATCCTACGTTGTAGCTGACTGACTGATTCCAGTTTTAGTGTTCAGACCAGGATATGATACTATTGCTTTTCTCTTCAAAGGTCAATTGCATTCCCCACCGAGCTAATAAATCAAGTTCCAATTAGAATAAAACTCACGTCTTGCATTCAATTATTAAGCATTATCCAGCTTTATCAAAATACTTGTTAATGTTTGCAAAATTCTAGTCAATCTGCTCAGGATGTGCATATGCTTAGAGAGACAGATTAATTGTAGTGCTTAAATTATAAATTGTGATTTCTACATGATATGCTGATTGACCAAATCAGGATCTTATATTCATTTAATAAAGCCAATAATTTTTGATCTGAGTTGTTTCCTTAGGCTTAGACTTTGCTGTTAAGATTTATAATGTATTTGTAATCATGGTTTGAAAACTTTCCACTAATCGATTCTTAACAGTACAAAATGCATCTTCTTCTTGACGGTATTGTCTTTGTATAACTTACGTGAAACGCAACAACTTAATACGAACTATCATTTACTAAACCCTACACTTTTTGTCTATTTGCGTTTGTCATATAATTATCAATATAGCAGTACAGAATATTGAATTCATCTTTGAATATGTAGCTGTATAGACTTATTTATTAAGTCAGATTAGCATTCAAACAAGAAGAATAATCACAACTACTGTTACAAAACAACAATGAAAATGCTGAACGGCTATACCTATAGTTTTTCAGTTATCTTTTGGGATACAGTGTAGTATATTGAACAATGTTCACTGACCACGATGTTGAGGAATATTGACGCTTTATTCACTTAGCTACTGTGTCCAGATAGCCACCAGCTTGTTCAACAAGTATGAGTTTAACTAGTAAGAGTTTGTAAATTTCTATCATCAATGTTAATGATGGAAATCGGTTAGTCGTTATTGATGTGTGATCATCATAACCGAATTGTTTCTATATTCTCATGTACTTATAAATTTGAAATACAGCCAGTTGCAAGGTCGATGAAGTATTGGTGTTTACACCAATAGCTACTGAGTTCGAGTCCCGTTCCCGACATCAATACCAGGATTCAGATGTAAATATTTGGCAAGTTTAAAATAAGAGGTAACGTGAGTCCTGGTTCCCACTTCTAACTACAGCCTAAGTTCACTAAATCATAAAACTAAATGACAATCTTGAAATAATCACCTTACGATGAACATAAACGCATAACTTTTGATCAACAAGGAGAAAAGACAAACTCAATAAATTAGCGTCTCCACTTGTTTACGTTTCAAATGAATTTTTTTAAAATGTTTTTGCGTATCCTGTAGTTTTGTGAACATCATCTCATAATATTTAAATCATTGGTTCCGAAGGCTATCAGATCTGGTCACTAAATCTTTATATAGTTATTATTCCTTTTATTCACTTTTAGACAGTAATTTATGATAGAAATGCCAACTATTCAAATAGTTGGTATGGTAAACTAAGCCTAAGTAAACAGAGAAATGGTAGGGAGTTATTGCATCATTGTTTCAGGATTAAATAATAATGACTGTCGATGATAAACATCTTGTTCAGATGATACATATAAAACATCTAAATAAATTAAAATAGTATGCTCATTATAACTAACTTTTAGAAAGATTTCTTAAAATTCTATAAAAATCACCACAAACGCTAGAGGCAACCAAGTTTGCAATTAGACTGCTACTTATCAGTGATAGACTAAAGTCGAAAAAAATACCAAACCATTCAACTATAACTATGAGTAACAAGCATTATGTTCTATGCAGAAGTTAAAGTTCTTTTCGAATCCAATATGTGATTTCGATTTCCAAATTATAAAATAAGATTATTCAACCAACAAATTATTATCAGAAGGAGTTTAATGGATGTTATAGTAATTTTGATAGTTGAGATTACGAATCAATTGAAGCTAGACCACCATGGAAAACCTGGAAGCACTGGACGGCCGTTTCGTTCTATTATGAGACTCCTCAGCAGCGCGCATCCACGATCTTGCTTCGTGAGATTCGAACCTAGGACCTATCCGTTTCCATGGTTTCCAGGTTTTCCATGGTGGTCTAGCTTCAATTGATTCATGATCACAACTAGCAAAATTACCATAAATTATTGTTAACAAAAAAATACATATAACTCAGTATGTATTAATAAACCTGATAGGTAAATGATGAAAATAGACGATTGTAAGACAATTATCAATAATTGAATTAAAAAAACATACATATTTGTCACTGCCCATCGGTATATACATTTCAGTGGAAAAAAATTTCGATCTTACATACATATCCTAGAGTCCTAGTGAGAAGCAGTAACCAGTGGAGTTCAACCAGGTTTGTTGGGAGACATCAACTCACTGAAGACATTGGTGAATGGTTGCTCAATTTCATGGATCGGTTGAAGTAAGACATCAACACCACTGGATGCCGGTTGGCACAGTGGACTAGTGGTTAAGCGCTCACGCGCGAGACTGGTAGGTCCTGGGTTCGAATCTCGCGAAGCAAGATCATGGATGCGCACTGCTGAGGAGTCCCACAATAGAACGAAACGACTGTCCAGTGCTTTCAGGTTTTCCATGATGGTCTAGCTTCAATTGACTCATGATGTCAACTATATTAAATATATATATTGCAATTTCAATTGTAGAGGAGATTGTTGTTTATTTTTTGTGTGTCCCTATCATATTTGTCCTTGAAACATTATCATCTGGTAGCTAAATTGTTTAATTTTTTCCTTTCAATATTTTTCTAAATTATTTAATTTAGTGAATCTATGACAGCCAGTTTACTTTTTATGTTTGCTATAACTCAGTGTATATTTGGCTTTGTATTACCGATATGTGATTCATTTGGTATGAAAAGATCTAAACTATATTATGAAGCAGATCATAAGTATTATTTGGAAGTAAGTCATATATAGTATATTATGCTGATTCAATATTATTTAGAGATGGCAAAGATAATTGATATTTAGAGTAATTATATGTGTTACTTGAACTTAACCACTTCACACTTCGAAATGGAATATTAACCGTTGTAGAAATAGGTTGGAAGAAGGCTAAGAGTAGTCCAACTACGAAATAAGTTCAGTCCACGAAGTTGTCAACTGTTAGACTGAGCACTGTAGGTAGATACAGACTACCTAGTTGTTACGTGTGTGATTATCATAACTAATGGAAGGAGACGTTGGCTAGCATGGCCTAAGATCGATCGCACTTGTACAAATGCATTTACTTTTTGTCTTTTCTTCGACTTTGAGTTCTGAAATAATCTTATACCTTGTTCAGTCACCAATTTTACGCTTTCTTTTAAAGCCATATTGTCTTTGTTAAATTCTATAATCTATCATCAAATTCAACGATTAGTTATATAATATCTTCTTTAGTTTCACCGGTCTTACTTTTTCCTATTAAAGCTTTAGGTGGGTTTTTTCTCTGAACTGGATGGTTTGGTCGTAGAGTTTCCATCGTTCCTCTGCACAACATCATCAGCGCAAACTTCATGTAGAAGCAAAGTGTTTAAATTTCTCCACACATAGGTTGTGGTTTCTCTAATCCATCTTCATCCTGATTGGTTATTGTGGATCTTTAACCTTTAATTATGGACACCCTTTTCATCTTTGCTTCCGCAAACATCAATTAGCAATCAAAAGCCATGACATATCCTCGCTGATTTTAATGGATGTAGATAATTGCGGACACACATTCGACTGTAAAAATGTTAATATCTTGGATAGAGTTAATAGTAAAAGCACCAGGGAATTTTTAGAAGCTTGACTTCAGACTAATCAGCAATCAACATACACATTGAAATCGATCCAATCTATCAACCAAGTAGAAATATCATGAACAAATAGTAAACCAAGAATCAAATCGCCTTGAGATACAATCAAAATAAAGAAGTAAACAATAACAGGTTCATAGTTAACGATAACCAATCAAGGTCAAGGTCGACAGGATGAGGTAAAACTCATATGTGGAGAAATTCGAGCACTTCCCTTCAACCTGAAGTTTGTACCAAAGATGTTTTTTAAAAAAAACAATCAAAGCTCCACAACAAAACCAAATAGCTCAGAGAACAAAACTCCGCCTAAACTACAAAATTGACTCAACCGTATTAAAACTTTATCAAAAATTCATCTCGAGGCTGGTCATTTATATATAATAAATTTCTGAAACTGGGACAAAGTAAAGCAGTTTGTTCACAGTTATATAATATACCTTTATGGGCCAGGGTAATCTTGCACTAATTTTCAAGAGAACTAGACACCATCCAGACTTTCACACGGTAACCCAAACAGTACAGATCAATCCCGTTTAACAGGAGAGCCAGACACTTTCCAGGCTTAACCCAAGCAGTACATCTCAAACCCGCCCTATAGGAGAACCAGACACTATATAGGCTTAAACTCTACAATCCGAACAGTACAGCCCGATCCTGTGGCGCAACCACTCAGGTACCAAACACCCTGGTGGACAAAGTAAAGTACCTATCTATAATTATAGCTTTTATGATAATTAATGGTCACTGATATTCTGTAATAGTAGTATTATGTATTGTCTATTCACCTGGATTTCTCTTATTTATTTCTTCTATTTCATCTACTAGATATTTCTAATCTCTCAATATTGTGGAGCAATACTTGTATTAGCTTATTTACAATATTTAATTTATAGTGGAACAAAAAAACAAATAAAACAAAAAATTATTCATGAACTTTCTAAATCTAAAACTGGTTGTGAATTAGTAGATGATAAACATATGAGTAAGTTGGTTATAATGAATAGTATTCTTTTATTTATTATGAGTATATATTGTGATGAATAATAGGATGGAAGTTATTGATGATTAAATATTGTTGTCAAGTATTTATGATTCTTTTAAAAACTTATTCTTAGAGTTGAAAGAGTAGCCATTGGAACTGGACCAACTGCATCTCTGTGCTGAGTTGTTATGGCAACTCGAACTGATGAACGTACGTACCAAGTTCTACGTTGTGACTGACTGACATAAAAACTAGGGAGAAGCTAATTTTGAAAATCTATTAAAACCATCTACTTGATCTACAAACCTTCTTTATCATCTCAGAACCTGCTTCGGTTTGGGCACCCAGGCAGTATCATAGCCCACACACATTTAAATGAAATGACGATTTTTTGTGTGGCGCATATATATCTGGTACCTCCTTGTACCAATATTTATTTGTTCAAATAAATAAATAACAAATAATCATCTCAGAAGTTAATTTATTATCCTTTTAAACTTTCTAAGTCTACACAGATGATCTTACACAAAAGTGAAGGAAGAACCTTCAGCTACTACTTACTTACTTACTTACGCCTGTTACTCCCAATGGAGCATAAGCCACCGACCAGCTTTCTCCAACCCACTCTGTCCTGGGCCTTCTTTTCTAGTTCTTTCCAGTTCTTGTTCATTCTTCTCATGTCTGTCTCTATTTCTCGGCGAAATGTGTTCTTTGGTCTTCCTCTTCTCCATTGACCTTCAGGATTCCATGTGAGGGCTTGTCTTGTGACGCAATTAGCTGATTTCCTCAAGGTGTGCCCAATCCACTTCCAGCGCTTCTTCCTGATTTCTTCCTCTGCTGGAATCTGGTTTGTTCTCTCCCACAGTAACTTGTTGCTGATAGTGTCTGGCCATCGGATCCGAAGTATTTTGCGTAGACAACTGTTAATAAACACTTGTATCTTCTGGATAATGGCTTTCGTATTTCTCCACGTCTCCGCCCCATACAGTAGAACTGTCTTGACATTTGTGTTGAAAATTCTAACCTTGGTGTTGGTTGACAATCGTTTTGAGCTCCAGATGTTCTTCAGTTGTAAGCATGCTGCTCTTACTTTGCCGATCCGCGCCCTCACATCTGCATCTGATCCACCGTGTTCGTCAATGATGCTGCCCAGATATGTAAAGGTTTCCACATCCTCCAAAGCTTCTCCGTCAAGTGTAATTTGATTGGTGCATATTGTATTGCATCGAAGAGTCTTGCTTTTCTCTTTGTTTATATTGAGACCTACTGCTGCTGAGGCTGCTGCTACACTGGTCGTTTTCTCCTGCATTTGTTGTTGCGTTTGTGATACAAGAGCCAGATCATCCGCGAAGTCTAAATCGTCAAGCTGCATCCTGCCTGTCCACTGTATCCCGTGATTTCCTCCAGATGTTGACGTCTTCATGATCCAGTCGATCACCAGGAGAAAGAGAAACGGTGAGAGTAAGTAACCTTGCCTTACACCGGTCTTTACTTCAAACGAGTCGGTGAGTTGTCCTCCGTGGACAATTTGGCAGTTTATTCCATCATAGGAGTTCCGTATGATATTGACTATCTTCTCAGGCACGCCGTGGTGTCGAAGAAGCTTCCACAGTGTCGTCCTGTCCACGCTATCAAATGCCTTCTCGTAGTCGATGAAGTTGATGTACAGTGATGAATTCCATTCGATTGATTGTTCCACAATGATCCGCAGAGTTGCGATTTGATCTGTGCACGATCTATCCTTACGAAATCCAGCTTGTTGATCTCGAAGTTGGGCGTCCACGGAATCCTTCATCCTGTTTAACAATACTCGGTTGAAGACTTTTCCTGGTATTGAGAGAAGAGTGATGCCCCTGTAGTTGTCGCATTTGCTCAGATCGCCTTTCTTTGGTATCTTGATCAGAAGTCCTTCTTTCCAGTCTGTTGGTACATGTTCTTCGTCCCAAATCTTACCGAAGAGGATGTGGAGTATCTTGGCAGTTGCTGTTACATTTGCTTTCAGTGCCTCTGCCGGGATGTTGTCTGGTCCCGCTGCTTTGCCACTCTTGATTTGTCTAATGGCCATGCTGATCTCTTCAATTGTTGGTGGGCCAATATCGATTGGGAGGTCTGTGGGTGCTGCTTCGATGTTGGGTGGGTTCAGTGGAGCTGGTCGATTCAAGAGTTCCTTGAAGTGTTCTACCCACCTGTTTCGTTGTTCTTCAATGTCGATGAATACTTTGCCTTCCTTGTTTTTCACTGGTCTTTCTGGCTTACGGTAATTTCCAGCAAGTTTCTTTGTTGTATCATACAGTTGTCTCATGTTTCCCTCTCTTGCAGCCTTTTCCGCTGTCATCGCTAAATCTTCAACATATTTACGTTTGCAGCAATTTGGAAAACTCTTCCGGTCTCCCACATTGTTCGGACATTCCATGTACCTATAAAAATTGTTGCTCTGGTTGTAAGAAGGTGCATCGGCCTCATGACTTCCGAAGGAACTCGGCTTTCATCATGAGACGTCATAATTATTCCTTCTACTCCCAGGGCAGAGTTTGAAAGGTTTGAATGATTTTTTCTGGTTAGCGTTTTTTTAGCGAGTTGATTTTCTACGGGATGGGGTCGCTAACCCCATGCACAACCCTCCTCCTTTACCCGGGCTTGGGACCGGCAGTAACCCCCAGAGGAGCTACAGGCGGAGTTTTCAGCTACTACAAAATATATTATATAATATAGAGTGACAAATATTCAGTCCAGTTAATAATAATTGTGTTACCTAAAAATTGATTGACTGAAAAATCACGACTTCTCACTGAAAATCTTGAAGCTTTGAAACTAATAACAAACAATATTCTATTAGGCATTAGTTATTTGACAGTGCTTCATTCTATAAATTTATCGTAGGATATAAACATCTTCGGGTCACTTATGTCAATACTATAAGTATGTGAAACTGATTGAGTGACATGTAAACATGTAAGCATACCACGAACTGATAGTTGCTAGACAACTACTAAAAATCAAGAAACACTAGATACCTGTTCCATTCAAGTATATTATTGCCCAGTAGTGACAGTGTACGAGTAACTATTTGAGTTCAGTTACATCGTAAGTGAAATACTTACCCACCAATAGCATTTGATGACAATCAAACGATTTCATGAAATAACTAATGTCAGATTTTTAAACTATTGAATGCTAACTGATTCAAATTTTAAGTGCTTACATGACGCCTGAAGGTCTTAGGTTCAACCCCTAGGAAATGTATGGATTTACAGTGGTGAAGATTCTCGTACTGGAACAAAACAGTTATCCAATACTTCCTAGTCTTCGGTGTTAGCTTAACTAAGGTCAGTTCGTGATATAATTTATATAATTCGATGATTTTCACAGGCTTTCTACACTAATAAAATACTTGTCTGTTTATTAGCATATTACGGTATTACATCACTTAATGTACCGGAATGGATATCTATGAAATACGATGCAGCCATTTTCTATTTATTTAATGACAGTTAACTAAATTATCAATTTACTTGTTTGAATTTTGATGTTGACCATTCATTTGTATACTTCACCTAATCAGTTGGGATATTGGTAAGAAAGAATTTACAAACTCAGATAATACAAGACTAAAAAGTTCCTTATCTGAATAGCTACCTTGTATTGAAGAACTGATAACCAACAAAATGTTAACATGAATACAAAAACGTCCATCAGTAATCCAGATACTATTTTCCTTATATATAAAAGTGGGTATACAAACCTCCATACGATTTTTAAAGTAAGGTGAATTAGTTTCATTCAATGTTCTCTTCCAATAGAAAAACGTTTATGAACACACACACCTTCTAGTTTTATTAATGACAAAATAAGACATTATATTATTCAATTTTAAGTACGGATTACAGTTGTCCAAACGGAAAATTTAATGACGCATACATTCATACAAAATATAGTTATTCCTTACAATTAACATTTAAGTAACATATATCTTTAAATATTACTTTCTTAATGAATAAGTAGTAAGTTGTAGTAAAGTCGCTACATATGTCAAACCACAATCTCTTATTCCAGTATAAATTTTATTCATTATCGGAATGGGTTTTGTGGTGATTTAGTATTTTCATAGTTGAAAACGTGAGTCAATGAAAGCTGAACCACCATGGAAAACCCGGAAGCACTGGACAGCTCTGGCTCGAGACTCGTAGATCCTGGGTTCGAATCTCGCGAGTGCGGAATCGTGTATGTGCACTGCTGAGGAGTCCCATAATAGGACGAAAAGACCGTCAAGTGCTTCAAGGTTTTCCATGGTGGTCCAGCTTCAATTGACTCACGCTTTCAACTATGATAAATTTTATTGCTATTTTAATCTCCAATGTAATATCAACAAAGATTCCTACTATCTAAAGGTTTATTACATAATTTAATTTACATCAAAGTTCTCCTAAATTTAAATTCAATCGATTTAATTTAAGATCAGCTAATTCGAATGATCAATCAAATAGAATAGAAAAATGTTAACAGTTATATATGTCAGTTCAATCTATTTATTCATGCTGTCAAGATAGTATGACATTAACTAAATAGGCAGAAACAAGACAACAATGACCTGTTATTAATACATTGTAATCATCAATTCATAATGAGTATACTATCATACTAATAGAAGACATCTTATATAGTCAAATAGCTATAAATCTATAATCTATATTCAGATGTTCATCATAATAACAATAATAATGATCTTATTCTTCTTGAAGAGTATAATTTCAATCATGATGACATAAACTTCTTTACTTTGTTAAATGCCTGTCATGTTCTCTCTTTCATCTAACTATCATAATAACAAATAGAATTTAATACATCTGGGTGTATTATAAATAGACCATTAGTAGTAACATAATGATCTTTGGAGGATAAAGTATGTGTAATATAAGAAAAGAATTGTAAGTAAATTGAGCTACATTAAGTAAATGATTAAATAGTTTTACATTGATACAGCTGAATAATGGACAATATCTTTCAGTTATAAAAATTGATTTGAATTAAAAGAATGTTTTAATTGGAAGATAATGGATACCTTTAAAGTTGGTAACTTGTATTCCATCAAAACAGTAGGCGTTGTCGGTCAGATTGTACACTGTAGCAAGACTAAACAGTAGATGTGATGCAAATCTGTGAGGACTTGATATAAGTGAACGATTCATCTAACCAATATCACAAATTCTTTATAAATACAAAGATGGATTGTTAGTTGGAATCCTTATAGCTTTTGCTGCATAATAGACAGGATCGAACTGCATAAAAAAAAACTAATAGGAATATGATAAGTTACCTTATATTGATCTATTACTATCTACTACATAACTCCTATTGATTAAATGTGATAGAACAGAACTGTGTATCGTTTTGACGATAACCTTTCCTAACTTTTCTGTACAATTCATGTCTTAAATTTGTTCTCTTTTTATATTTATTTACTTTAGCCTTAATTAGTACTTGCCTTTTCATTTGGATATTCCTCACAACATCTGTTAGCCCGAAATTTCTGAAACCGAAAAAGAAATTTACTTAGTATTGTTTGTTTGGATCATCCTATTGATGTTTTTAGGACTGCGACTTGTCTGTCTCTAATTGGCATATGTGCATACTGTGCGTATTGCCTCGATATAGCCTAAATTCACAAGCATAGTAAGCAAAGATGGATACTGGTCAGACTCTAATTAGCATATGCTGTAGTCCAAAAAACATCAATAGGAAGATCCAAACAAACAATACTAAGTTAATTTCAACTTCACCCCATTGCACAAGCAAGTGGCCATCAGGACTCAGTGGCCGAGTGGAAAATGCGATGGCGTTTGAAGCGTAAGGTACTTGGTTAGAGTCCCAGAGTGAACGTCAACTTCGAGATGCAGGTACATCCAGCTGACGAGTCCAAAATAGGACGAAACGCGCGTCCTGGTTTCCACTGCTATCCACTATCCATCTTTGCTTACGAAAAAGAAATTGTTTTCCTATACAATATTTGTTCTGTCACTTAAACTTTCTGAATACTATCTACATAAGCTTTGTTATTCTGCCTATTCAAATGAAATTATTTTTCCTCAATGTTAATTAAACTCTTATTTCAAGTCATAAGATAGAATATTGTCAAAAGATTCTCATATAGTTGAATCAAACAGTTTCTATTGTACTTCAGGACAACTTCATTAGTCAACATGATAATGAAGGCTTGATAGTCAAACTATATGTTTTAAGAAAACTTAACAGTATCAGAAATCCTTCATTTGAGTTCCGATTTTCTTTTATTATATCGTCAATAAACTTCCGACTAATACCTACGTTGAATATCAACTTTCTTGTTACATGTTCTCTGTCCTAATCTGTCTTGGTCTTTTATACCCCTGTTATGTTTTGTGGATTAGTTAACTATTCCTCTTACGGTAATGAAAATTACATATATTACTTTTTATCTTATACTGTTTCTTATTATTCCTTCCGGAACTTTTCAGAAAAGATTTCTCTATGTTGCGTAGAATTATTAAAGCAATTAGTAAATCTTTTGATATCATTGTAAATATGGTTATGGAAAAACATTGGAAATCGTGAAAACAACTTAAATAGGAACCATTGAATCTGTTATTATCCTTTTTTTCATATATCTTCTAACAGAATAAGACGTTGATACATTCAAATCATAGCATTCAAATAAATGTGTAGAAATTCAAAACAGTGGTTCCCTTTGATAAATTTGAACAGAGAAATGAGAAGACAAATTTTGTGAGATAGTACCATTTCGTGCTTTCTCGTCAGTCACATACAAGCAACATGTTATTCGTGTAAATACAGGTTTGAAGATAAGGTCAAAATTTCTTATTTAGCATGACATTCACTCACTGACGGTATTACACTTTACAAACGATATGTCGACGATATTCTTGTCATATTACCACAGTCTACAGATATTAATCAAGTCAATGATTTATTTAATGCAATTCACCCGAATCTGAAAGTCACTTATGAGGAAGAAAACAATAATGAACTAGCTTTCCTCGACATCCTGCTCCATCGCCGTCCAGACGGATCGATCAGACGCAGAGTAAATCGCAAACCCACCTGTTCGGAACAGTACCTCCACTTCACTAGTTTCTGCCCCATACAATATAAACGTTCTATTGTCAAAACTTTATTCGCTCGGGCAAGTAGAATCTGCACTGTAGATACATTGGACGACGAATTTAAGTTTATCACTGAAACACTTAAATTAAACGGATATCCTGAAACGTTTATTGGTCATCAGAACACAAATACGACGAAACTGATAGCAACGGATGTGCCCAAGAAACCAGTATACCTACAGTTACCTTTCAAGGGTGATCACTGCATGAAAATTACAACCAAACAGACTGCAGCTGCAATAAAAAAGACCTTCAATGCAGCTAATCTGAGGCTTATCACAACAACTCAATCGATCTCAGTTAACCCTATCAAGTCTCCAAGACCGATTCAGTCCAAATCCCACTGTATTTACCAATTCACCTGTAACTGCGGAGAAAGTTACTTAGGTAGGACAGATCGCCGATTGGAGGACAGGATAGGGGAACATATTCCAAGATGGTTAATCAAATCCATGATTCATCCACCTAGCCCGTCATCTCAAGATCGATCAAGAAACCCATCCTCGTCCATTGCAAAACATCTTATGATGAGTGGTAATCAAATTGACCCAAAATCAGCCTTTAGAGTTGTGACATGTCATCAAAACCCACACACACTCAAACTACTCGAAGCTATCTTGATTGGTCGGAAAAGTCCAACTTTATGTGTTCAAAAATAACTGTACGTTGACCTTTGTTTACCATGGTTCTAGTGAGTGAATGTCATGCTAAATAAGAAATTTTGACCTTATCTTCAAACCTGTATTTACACGAATAACATGTTACTTGTATGTGACTGACGAGAAAGCACAAAATGGTACTATCTCACAAAATTTGTCTTCTCATTTCTCCGTTCAAATGTGTAGAAGCTCTATTATACAGTATCTAGGATATATACTACGAAAAAGGAACAAGTTATAAAATATTTGTTGACTTGAATACAATCATTAGTAAATTCCAAGATCAGTTACATATCGGTGAACGCTTTTGATGCAACAAAAACAACCTTGGACTCTATTAACAACTGCATACAAAAAAAAAATAATACTCCCAAGATTTCTGCGTATTCATCATTGTATAGATACATAATTTCTGATAAATATTTCCTCTTATTTAATGTAATTTTCTCTACTTGTTTTATGTTTCAACGTGTTTATTCATTATTTTTTGTAACCTATAAGGGGAGTAAGAAGAGCACGCTAAAATACAATATTCTAAGAATCCCATATTCTAGTAAACAAGGTTTACATTAAAAATTTTCATAGAAAATAATAATATATTTGTAATATATCCCAGTCGAAAAATTAAATTTACAAATGCTTCATAACTGAGTGTAAGCCAGTCCTTCTTCTCATTAAGTCAGTAACAAGTTATTTATTAACATTATTATTACCAACCCCACTCCTCACCACAATTAATGAGAACTTATATTCCATGGTGTATTTTGTTTTTTAATAATTTTTTATTGGTACATTTAATAACATTTTCTTCTATTTTTGTATTACAGTAATTAATGAACATCATGAATTAAGTGAACCAAATATAGTAAGTTGAGTTAGTGATTATAATGTACATTTTTGGTTACTATGTTTTATAATTAGTGATTTCGAACTATTTTAATGCAATGTTATTAAGTTTTATAAGCAAAGATGGATAGTGGCTAACAGTGGAATCCAAGACGTACATTTCGTCCTATTTGAGACTCGTCAGCTGGATGTTCCTGCATCTCAGAGTTGATGTACACTCTGGGACTCGAACACAGTACCATTCGCTTCAAACGCCATCTCATTATCCACTCAGTTTTGCTTATAATGCTTGTGAATTAAGGTAATATCGAGGCAATATGCACAGTATGCACATATGCTAATAAGAGACTGACCAGTTGCAGTGCTAAACATTAATGGGTAGATTCAAATAGACAATACTAAGTCGTTATTTAGTTTGTCTGCTTTTTCTGAATATTTTTGTAGAAAGTTAAATATAATTTTTTTAGTACAGTCTTACATCAATAGGAGAGTAGAATGAGTACTGGATAGTTATTTTACTCACAATATTATACTACACGGTATCGAACCCTTCATATATATATATATATATATATATATATATATATATATATATCCTTCACTAGGTGGCCTGCTTGAATATCTTGGCTACCAGTTCCTGTCATCTAGATATTTCAGCACATTATCTGTCTTTTGTTTGATTCAACAGATCATTATGTTCGTTAATTGCACAACCTATTCAGTTGCGTTTGTGAAAAGTTCACGATCTTTCGTTGTATAAGTTAGAAAAGAGTACAATCACAGACATTGTGGTTGTTTGTAATATACATCGAAAAGAATGTACATTATTCAGATGTCGATTTATGAACTGCTAATATCTAATTGGCGATTACTCAATACTTATCATCAGGATCGATCAAAGAAATAAGAAAAACGGAAACTTGTTGAAATACTTTGCTTTGAGAATACTATATTGTACCAAAAATATAATATTGAATAAAGCTATTAGTAATAATAATAATTCACGATTAAGTCTAATGATAAGTAAAATATCGTAAAACTACTTTTTAAAAGTTTCATTAGATGACTATAACATAATTTTTCATACGAATGGTACCCTTCGTAAATTAGAACAAATTATGCAGAATGAAATAAATACATTCTATTTTAGCGTCTTCCAATAACTACGAACAGCTTAATAAGCAATATCAAAAGTAATACAAGTAATAAACAATCTTTTGATATACAATAATCAGTAATATTGAGATTTATATTTGAAACGGAATAAAATGATTGATTATTTTATTACTCATTTGCCAGGTACGAGCTAATAGCACATTTTGTGATACCACTAGGTAACTGTTCAACACAAAGTGCATGAAAAAAACATTCAGATCTGTGACTTGTTAGTTTAGACTTGACTAAAAGTTTGTTTTTCATTATTTGTTTTAACATAGTTAACTGAAATATATTTCAGAACTTAAACAAATTTAAAACTTTTTAATAGTTGCGTTCATGTGTCCCACAATAGGACGAAACCACCGTCCGGTGCTTCCAGGTTTTCCATGGTTAGCCAGCATCAATCGAATCATGTACTCAACTATAAAATTACTGAAATCCCTACAAAGCCCGCTTCTGATATTAATCATAATGTGTTTACTAATGAGTGGCTTCAAAAGGTATTCCCTGGAGTTCTAATAAGAAGTCGTAACCAGTGGAGTTCAATCATGTCTGTTGTGAGATGGCAAGTCACTGAAAACAATGGTAGATGGTGGAGCGATTTCATGGGTTAGTTTGAGTTAAACATGAACATTGTTGGATGCTGGCTCAGTGGTCTACAGGTTAAATATTCGCGCGCGAGAATGATATATCCTGAGTTCGAACACCGCGGGCAGGATCGTGGATACGCACTACTGAAGTCTCATATTAGGAAGAAACGACCTTCCAGTGCTTCCAGGTTTTCCATGGTTACCTAGCTTCAATTGACTCATGAGCTCTAATATAAAACTATCAAAATCTCCACAAAACCCGCTTCCGATAAAATTTACAACTATTTAAAATCTCACGCGCGAGCGCTTAACCTCTATACTACTGAGCCGGTCGGCATCCAACGGTGTTAATGTCTAACTTCAACCGATCCACCAAATTGAGCGGCACATCCACCATTGTCTCCAATGAGTTACTATATCACAAGAGACCTGGTTGAACTCCACTGGTCACTGCTTCTCACTAGAACTCCAGGAAATACCTTTTGAAGCTAGTCACTAAATCAATAAATTATAGATCAGAGGGGGTTTTGTGGAGAATTCGGTATTTTCATAGTTGAAATCATGGATCAATTGAAGCTAGACCACCATCGAAAACCCGAAAGCACTGGACGACCGTTTCGTCCTATTATGGGACTCCTCAGCAGCAATAAATTATAATTGAATTGTTATACTACATTTCGGTGAATTATCTTTCTCATTGTAAATAGTATAAATTTTACTAACGTAAATTTATAATCTTTTTTTTTATTCATTCAATATAAGTTGAGATTTTGTTTGATAAATTTATATATAATTCGGCACAAAGAATTAATTAATTCAATGAATATATACAATTGATTTGTTGATCACACTTCATATACATAAAAGTTATCAACCAACTTGAATATCCCATTTCTGAATGTCAATCAGGTTACGAATAACTTAGTGGTAACATTTTAGACCCTGAAGGTGGTTGATGAAAACACGAATATATATCAGAGCATATCAGTTGTCACAAGATTATAGTTTTGCGTTCTTGAATGAACGTCAATCATCACAAAACCTATGTCCAAGGTTTTATGATAACTACGTGCAATAGACTAATACTAATAAGATTGTCTGCTCAGTATCAAGTCACTTAAATTAATGGTCACAATGTAATTTAGTCGATATATTCCGATCAACACTAAAGACTGAATAGACATGAAACTGCTCATTACTAATTGATTAACTAATGTATACAATACCATGTACATATAAAAAGTAGCACAAACGTCAATCATTTGATCTTTTAATCCATAAAAAAACACAACTTTGCGAGTCATTCAGATATTCAATATCGACGATTTCCGATTCTGATTAACTAACAAAACATTAAAACAAAGAATATAAATAATTTAAATTAATGGGAAGTTTTTTATCTGGGAAAAGTTAATTGTTATTGATTCACTTATTATTGTTTGTTTGAATCTTCACATTGATACTTAGGACTGCAACTCGTCAGTCTCTTATTGGTATATGTGCATACTGTGCGTATTGCCTTAATTCACAAGCATTATAAGCAAAGATGAATATTGGCTAGCAGTGAAATCCAGGACGCGCGTCTCATCCTAGCTGAGTGGATAATGCGATGGCGTTTGAAGCTAGAGTTACTGTGTTCGAGTCCCAGAGTGAACATCAACTCTGAGATGCAGGTACATCCAGCTGACGAGCCCCAAATAGGACAAAACGCGCGTCCTGGATTCCACTGTTAGCCACTATCCATCTTTGCTTAATTGTTAAGGGTTTACATTAGCATATGTGTAGTAAAGTGTATATGCTTGGTGATGATATATATAATAGAGAAATAGACTCATTTTCTCCGTCTTTCTTACACATACTTTTATAGTTGATGAAATTAGATTATATGAATAATTCCTCACCAGTTAGTCCAATTGATAAACTATCTGATATTGAATCAACAACTAGTGAACGACAACTGACACGATTAATTCATCTTTACAATGATGATAATAATAATAATAACAATAATAATCAAGAGAAACCTTATATATCAATACATCCGGAAGGAATGAATTTATATATGCGACTTGGAGCAGTTGGTAAGTGTAATAACAATTATAGAATTTGTTGTCGATTCTCCCTAAAAGTTGTAAACATAAATAATGATTCAGTTAAATGTTCAATAAATTTAGATGTTTGATCACACCAATTGGTTGGGTTTTCTTTTCAAATTTTGTTAGATCAACTTGTATTGATTTCAGAATATGCTAATTGTAACAATAAGAAACTGTTAGGGTATGTGAATGGAATGTCTGAATGTTGTTTATCTAGATTTATTGACCAAACCAAGATTTATCATTAGAACATGAAGTCATTGACCACTTAACAGAGCTACGTAAGTGGGTTTAGATTATCTTGCCAGAGTCTGTAATCAGTGGTAGTTACCATTACATGACTTGACTCAGAATCGATTGCAATGGCTCATATACATCCAATCTTCGAAAACTATCTTACACCTTTTATCCAGTTAACTCATATTTTCACTTGAAATCGTACTATCATCCGGGAACAGAACTGAGGACCTACATCTTCGCATAAGAACATTCAACTTCTAGACCACTGAACCGGCTTTCGATGGTATTAATGTCTAACTTTAATCAATCCACTATATTGCATAACCCCATTTATTGCATGAGGTGGATAAATGCCTCATACTTCAAACAGACTGAACTTAGTGATCTAGAGGTTAAGCATTTGCATGCCAGATCGAATGTCTCGGATTCTATTCCCAGATGTGTGGTGGCGAACGTGAACTGCTGAGGAATCCCATTGTAAGAGAAAACGTCCGCTCAATGATTCCAGGTTTCTAATAGTCATCAATTTAAGATTAGTCTGTGATTTTAACCGGAAGTTCTACATTTTCCTTAAATCCCCTATACTATCAATCACAAATTTTTAATGGAATCACAATAAGAACCAGAAATTATACTTTTTATCAGATTTTTTTCTTTACAATTTGAGAGAATTGACCTAAATTCTAACTAAACTGACGTATTTGGTATTCACTCCAACTCCATAAATTTATATAAACGTATACAATTGCGGTTTAGTTAGATAAATGGAATCATAGTTGAAATTTGATGCTTTCCATCGGGATCTACTAATCATCATTCCAACTATTCTATAGTATCATCATCAGTATGGGTTTGTGGAGACTGTTAAGCTTTTGATTGATATCATGAATGGATCAATGTTAGACTACCATTAAGAACCTAAACGGCCGTTTCGTCCTAGTATGGGACTCATCAGCAGTGCGCGTCCACGATCCCGTATATGGAACCTGGATCCAAGACCTTCAGTCTAGTGCGAACGCTTGACCTCAAGACCATTGATCCAGATTCAATAAACGATCTGAATAAAAACAGCACCCTCAACTAGTCATTCACTTCAGAGAATGAAGAATAATAACTGGTGTTTCTATGTAATAGGAATATGAACCCTTGCCTTTACACACCAACTTTTTCCTTGAAACACACAGCTCTGTACTTCTTTAATAATTAATGCTTAGAATCTACTATTCGTTCGAATTTATACGTGACCGAAATAAATGTTAATATTATCATTTACTTCGGTAGTTAATTATCCTATCGATAGATTTTATAAAATTTAATTACTCATGAAATAATCTACCTCTTAATAAACTAACTGAATAATGGTTGAAAATTTCACTGAGTAACAATTTTACAAGAAAAGATTGATGGTGGCTAACGATGGAATCCAGGAGGCACGTCTTGTCCTATTTAGGATTCTTCAGCTAGACATACCTGCGCCCCAGAGTTGATTTCTACCTCGGAACTTGACCGCAGCACCTTTTGCTTCAAACGCCACCACGTTATCCACTTAGTTACTGAGTTCTGATAGCTATTTGCTTGTGCAATGGGGTGAATTTAACAATTTTACAGCTTTTATTTTGTAATATGCATTTTAAGTTACTTAATTCATTATCAGTAGTTTATGTTTTACTAAACAGCATCCGTATTTTTTTGTTAGGTTTCGGTTTAGGTGTAATGATTCATGATGGTTTCAATTTATCTTCAGTATGGGAAGTCAGTGAACCAGTATGTCACAGTAAACTATGGATACCAAAACATATAATAAGAATAGTATGGGTACTTTGGCAAACATATTTTGTGTTCAAATATCATAGAGTAAGTGAGTGTTTTGTAATTCCATCTTTATATACTATTGTGGTGCGGTCTACTTATATCCATATAAGTAGCATATGGTGATGATCAGACATAGAATGTATTTTGGCAGAAGACCGATAAGGAAAGAACTGAAACGGAGCGCAATTGGTAGGAAAATGTATAAACAATGAAATTAGAGAAGATGAACTGATATTTACAGAAGGAACAGTGAAGATTGAAACAATTGGTTGTTAATTTGCAAATTAATTGTTTACTGTATGGTTATCAGAATTTAGTCAGATAGTCTATAATTTGTGCTTAAATTCATTCAATTGTCCTCACCCGTGTTTTGTTCACTACACGATCGAATTCATTTGAACACAAATTACAGACTATCTTACTAAATTCTGATAACCATACAGTAAACAGTTAATTTGCAAAATAACAATCAATTGTCTCAATCTTCACTGTTTCTTTCGGCAAATATCAGTCCGTCTTCTCTGATTATTATTGTTCATGCAGTTTCGTACCAATTGTGTTTCATTTCAGTTCTTTCCTTATCGGTTTTCTGCCAAAATACATTCTATGTCTGATCATCACCATATGCTACTTATATGGATATAAGTAGACCACACTACACTATGTATATGTATGAAGATATAACAATCATATTGTTTTAATTTTTTAGGTTATATTACACCGTCATCTTGTAACAGTACGTTTGTCTTATATACATTTGGCTACAATAAACTTTTGTCATTGGCTTAAAGTTGTAGTTAATGAAGTGGCGTTAAGTTTAAAAACACCAGTTTCTTATTCATCAACAGCTCATTCAACTCATATTTCAAATATTATGATTGAAAAGCATAATATGGTAAGTCAAACAATCGTCAACAATGAATTTTTTGAACTATTTTGTAGGTTTATGCCTTTTCATCTAATAGTGTTTTTCCACATTAGACAATATAATAGTATCAAATTATCGGTATAGAATTGCGGAGATTATTGAGTTTACATTGATATCATGAATTGATCAATATTAGACCACCATTGATAACCTGGATGTACTGAAAGGCCATGTCATCCTAATGTGGGACTTCTCTGCAGTGCGTATTCACGATCCCTCACACCAGATTACAACCCAAGACCTTTGGTCTCGCGAACAAACGCTTAACCCCTAGATCACTGAACCGGCATCCGATGGTGTTAATGTCTAACACTAGGACGAAACGGCCGTCCACTGCTTCCAGGTTTTCAATGGTGGTCTAACGGTGATCCGCTCATGGTATAAATCATCGAATTAGCTAAGCAGATTATGTTATCACTGAATGTATTTTTCTGAATATCTGAAATGCTGTTTAAAGCATCAATATTTTCATAGTATTTGTTAGATGATTCAACTTATCCTAAAAGATGAATATAATGCTGAAATTACTCTTATAAAACAACATGTTTTCTATGATCAAAACGTGTCTCTATTACTTCATTTAAAAGTCCTTCCATTTTATGTACTTTATTCAATCTCGCATAGATGATATTAACGGAAATCAATTCAAAATTGTTGAAGTTATATACTGTTTCAGGATTCGTACACACTTCCTTGCTAGTTATACTAATTGATTCAGTATTAAGTATATTGAAATATAATAAAATCTCGATATTCATTAGTGTTATGTCCTTAGCAATACGATTATCGTGAAATACGATTGCCAATTCAGATACGCTGACTTATATCATCAAAACTGATGACGCATACACCAGTACGTGCAGTCTAGAGTCCTGATAGGTTTATTTTACCACCTAGCCCTGTGTGTTAAGTTCAGGACACCAATCTTAGCCTCCGCAATATGAACATCTCAAGAATAGTAAATCATATGATAATAGTCAAATAAAAGCTTATAATTAAATGAATATAAATGCACATATAATATAATCACTTAATAGTCATACAATAAGAATATACGTATAATATTAGTCCATAAGTAGTTCCTAACGGTTATCATTCATTTATTCTCATCCGGATATTACTTTTATTACCGCTATATATGTGGTGAGGTCTACTTATATCTATATAAGTAGTATATGGTGTGGGTCAGACATAGAATGTATTTTCGCAGAAGACCGATGAGCAAAGAACTGAAATGAAGCGCAATCGTTTGGAAAATGCATGAGCAATGGAATAAGAGAAGAAATAGTGAAGATTGAAACAATTGGTTGTTAATTTGCAAATTGACTGTTCATTGTATGGTTTTCAGAATTTACTGAGATAGTCTGTAATTTTTGCTTAAATACATTCGATTGTCCCCAACTAGTGTTCTGTTCACTACGTATATAATATAAATGGTATGTGTTTTACAACTATTGTATAATGAAATAAACCTAAGAAACAGATGTTCCCCAGCTTAAATGTACTTGACTACTACTACATTAATAGTTTCGTTAGCTATACATTAGTACTTAAATCTTAGATTCATTTATATAAGTCTAATATCAGCAGGAAAATGTTTTTTCTACATGTCACTAATGAATACAATTCATCAATTCATCAATTTTGTACTGAAACAGTTAGCTATGGTAATTATTGAAATATAGACTTGTATAAACAATTGACTTGTTCATTTTTGTGTTAACTCAACTACGACTTCTCACCATCTCGATTGAATGATTGTGAGATTAAACAAGTATTATATTCATTATTTTATGCTTTTTGATCTATCTTCTTCACTTTATCCAGCAATATATGATTGAAGGTAGTTAGCGAGAATCTTAATGCTTTGGTATTCTAATTAACACTACCTGTTTAGCTTTCACCAAAAGATCTAAAACCTTAGTATTCGTTCCCTGGTGGAGTCATGAATGTGTACTGCTTGGAGTCCCATACTGGGAGTGGGGAAGCTGTTTACAGCTTTTTTTTACCCTTAATACTGTGCTTTTTTTAATTTCAGACTCATATTTCATTGAATCCTTACGATGAACATCATACTCAAAATAGTAAGTATATTATATCAGTACCTGTGATTAAAATCATTAAAAAGAACTACCAATTAATGTTAATGATCAAATGTTTAATGATGATTGGAGGCAAAATCTATGGTCAGTTGCTAGCTTACTAGGAGGATCTAACTGCCTGATCAATAAAAATTCTAAACATTAAACAGATGTAATCAAGGTCCTCAACTTTCAGCCACTAAGCCTCAATTTCAAGTCCTGTGTTACCTACTTCGGTTTGAGCAACCGGATTGTTTCATCAGCTTGTATCACTAACTTAAATTGTGACCCGAGACCTCTTTGTACGAATCTATACTTGGTAACTGAGTTAATAAAAGAATTGAACTGTGGTCAAAAGCTTTACAACTTAGTTGTAACTAACCATTTGTATTTCTGTTTATTGGTCAATGATCGTCAGTCCTAGATGTCATTGCTGCTAGTATTTATCAGCAAAATTACAGATTGAGCAATGAACCAACAGACTTAACATTGTTTTAGTCCGTTCGTTGTCTGACCACTGTAAGATCGGACAACGATGATGGCATGCTTTCTGCCAACACATCACGTTGATACAACGTAAAATAATAAAATTTGAATACGAATTGTATTTAAGATATGCAAATTTCAGGCAGGCTAATCAAGGGGAGCCAAGCTGGTAAAAGATTCAGCCCTCGTATAAATACTAGGAGTTCTATAATTCGACTCAGAGAATAACATAGTGACTTGTATTTTATAAGTCATCTAAGAACTACAGAAAGTGGACAGACATACGTACTAAAAAATGTACATTTGTAAAATATCGTCAAGGTTACATGTAAATAGATAACAAGGACAAATATATGGGTGACCGAATAAATGCAAAGATTAAGATGTTATTTGTTAGAACAAATCATATAGATTAGAGCATAAATTCCTGTACTGTGTTTTATATTTGCTGTCATGTTGTCGAGAGAAATAAGAAACTATTTGACATGGATTACTTACATGACGGCAATGTCACTGAATTCAACAATCCTAAGGAGCATTTAGTGTTCTTGCTTTAGTCTTATGTGGGAAGAGATCAGTTATGTACAAAATAACCTAATTTTTTTATTTTTTTCTCACTCTTCAATGATTTTAAGAATAAGTTAAATGACGTTTTCTATCGTTTTTACAATATATTATAAATTTAGGTCACTATACTAAGGGTGATACATTGGCCGAAACAACAAATCATCATAACAATAGAAGTATTTCCAGATTATGTCTTGGTTATTTGGGCGTAACAGTGGATCCATTTTTATATCCATTAGCTATTGAATATAGTTTAATAACTGGATCATTCTTTTATAAAATGCTACAACGTTTAGATCAGACATTTCCAAAATCATTTAATCGTACATCAAATGGTAGTGATTGTCTTGCATTGAATTCACCAAGTTTATTTAGTCCATCACCATTATCAACCACTAATAGTATAAATAAAATTGAATTTGATAAATTCCTTGAAGATGATGTCTCAGAACATCATCAACAACAGCAACAATATCATCCAGAATGTATAAAACATATGACATATAGACCAGTAATGGGATGTAAAGTATTTCTTCCACTATTGAAAAAGAATAGATTACCAATATTAAATGAACATTATTCACCATCTATAGGTAAGTAGCATTTTTTTCTCCAAAAACCTTTTACGGCATTTATAAACAAATAGAAGTAATTTATATATTTAATGGAATAACAACAAAACTTCTAACATGTATTTAGTAGTCCTTACTTTTATTATTAAACTGAGGCCTTATAGTTTTGGGTTTGATTCTTAGTGGGGTCCTGGATGCCTACTGCTGAGCAGTTCCACACTAGAACGAAGCACATATCCAATGCTTGCTATTTTTAAGTGATTATTTGACTGTAGTCAGTCCATGATGTAAACTATCAAGCTCAACAATCTCTACAATTCCCTTACACTAATGAATCATATAATCTGATCTACATTATGTCAGAGAGGTGTTTAAGTGTGGTCAAAGTAAAAATAGTTAACAGTTAAATATAATGGAATGTGATAAATACTGCAACAAAACGTGACAAGTGATATCATGGAGTGCCGACATAAAGTTTCATTCCAAGGTTTAAATTTCTATCTGTTAACAGGATCACATATAGTATATGGACAGTATTTATGAAATACAAACAATGGACATGACATAACGTAGTGTAACAAATTAATGAGTTATTATATGCTAAATATCTACTGTATGATAATTTCTAACGGTTATTTGATAGGCTATCATAATAAATCAAAGAAAATGCAAATGATTTTAAAAAAGGTGAACGCACCTGAATGAGTAATGAGACTAATAGGCATAATAATGAGTTAAAACAAACAAACAAAAAGTTAAACTTGTTGAAATATTCAGATATCAGGAACAGGTAGCCCAAATATTCAAGCAGGCCGCCTTGGAACCGATGTATGACTGAAATGAATTTTCACGACATATAGCTTAATATTTAATTATACAACAGAATAATGTAGATTTAGAATTTTGTTGTGCCATAAGTAAAACTTAAGTAAAAATTGAAATTCTCCGAGAAATTCAACAGAAAACTGTTTGATTAAGTTTTTCCACGGAATTCGAAATTTTCCTTTGTTGATTCTTAAAGCTAAATTATTCAGCTTATTCCATAGCATTAGCTCTTTGTACGGATCTGTATATATTGAATTAAATTTTATTATTATTATTATTATTATTACTATTATCGATATTCATAATATCAATGAAGCAATGAATGCAATCCATTTTGGATAGACCAATTATAGCCTTGAATAATTACTAGCATTTGATAAATTTACTCAATAATTTAGTGTACAAAACGCGAATGCTTGAACTGATGAATATTGAGTATTTTTCATTCTCAATGGGATTGAACACTGACACACTGAAGAAGGGATCATACTCATATAGCTGAGATACCTAAGTAGGAATACATCCACTTTCTGGATTTTAGTTGTGAACTGCATAGTAAATAACATTATTATGAATAACGAGAGTGAGTTTTATATGCAAAATGTTTACCATAATTTTTATTTCATAGATGTAATGTTCTAAACAATACAGAGGTTAGTGCAGAAGCATTATGATGAAGGTATTCGAGTTTCAACTACCAGATCCCAGATTTACGTTCTACCTCCATTAATTTGATTTAAACAACAGGATAAGTATCATTAACTCTCATACATGAAGTGTGGCTCAAATCCGAGTGCAAGAATCTGTATTTAGTGAGTTTCACAAATGAACTAAGATATCATTACCGTAAAATACCTAATTCCAGGCAGTTTCGATTTGAGTTGGTTTGAGATAATAAGTAAGTAGCTTTAATTATGGATGTCAGGTCAATTAAGATTAATCAGAAATTAATATTGCAGTGAACTTTATCTTTTAAGGATATTCTAATCATCGAAATCAAAGTTCTTCAACAACTCAGTCATCGAAATCTTATTTCGAATATTTTGGAGTCTATTGTTTGAAACTTATAAAAAAATTATAAGAATATTCAACACATGAATCATGAACATTTTGTACATCTGAAAGTTTTTCAAATGACAAACATTGGAAGCAGATGATTGTTAATATGAAAAGACTTTAAAAGTACTACTGGACGAAATTAATCATGTGTCTTGCTTCTTTCAATGTATATGAAGAAAAATACTCTCACATTGTACGGAGAATAATTGATGTACATTTATTGGCCATATCATCATTGAGATAGATATCACTGATAGTAATATTAAAAAATTTGAACCAATGAGTTCCGATTGACTCGAATTTATTTTGCTCACTACAAGAGCTCAAAATCCTAAATTTGATCATGTGTAAAAATGTTTGTACACATATTGTTAAGTAGTCTAAAATTCAAACAAAACCATGGTCCAATACAATCTATTCTCCTTTGAATAACATAAGTCTATTTTATATAGTTGAGATCATGAGTCAATTGAAGCTAGACCACCATGGAAAACCTGGAAGCACTAGACATCCGTTTCGTCCATGATCCCGCGTCGCGAGATTTGAACTCAGGACCTATCAGTCTCGCGCGCTAGCACTTTATTACTAGACCACTAATCCAGTCGGCATCCAACAGTGTTAATATCTAACTTCAACCAATGCACGAAATGGAATAACCATTCACCAATAATTCATAATCTCAACTATATAAAATTATTAAACACTTTTCACAAAACCCCCTTCTGCTAAGTATATTTTCTTAGTTTTCTGATATTACTTAATAATAATAATAATTTCATACTTTATTCAATCTATCTCATTTATTGTTTTGTTTTTTTGTTTTAATAAACTTTTATTCAAATTGAATTAACCAATTCAAATATTTATGAAAAACAAACAAAAACAAACAACCAATTATTCTATGGGGGATCTTTAAACTGTCAATTCTCAATATCAGTTGAAGAAAATAAACAACTATGTAGTGATGAACAAAATTTATCTAAATTCAATTCAGATCATCAATGTCATCGTTCACATACTGGTTTATTTTTAGGTATAATGTTATTAATTGGTAGTATTATATGTATGGTATTATTTTTAATCCATGGACGTAATAAATCAAAACAATTAGCATCATATATATATCAAAATTCTAAATTAACCTTATCAACAATTAGTTTATTAGCATGTATTATGGGTATAATACAAACGAATCAATTAAAATTTCATCGTTTAAAACAAAGTGAAAATTTTGAATATAATTTATTAACTATTGGTTTAATTGGTTGTATTACATATCATATGTTTTTATTTATACCAGCATTAGAAACTATTATACATATTATATTATTATATAATAATAATAATAATATTAATAATAATAATTATAATTATTATAATTATAATAATAATAATATTATTGGTTTAAATAATTATAATTATAATAATATTATTAATTTAAATAATAATAATAATAATTTAAATAATAATTATTATTATAATAATTATAATTATTATAATTATGATTTTAATTATTTTCAATATTTAAATAATAATAATAATAATAAAACAAATGATTTATTATATATAATAAATAATCAAATACAATATACAGCTTTATTATATTTAATTAAATGTACATTAGAAATATGTCAAGCATTAATACAATTTTTTTTTATTGTTGAAACATCAAGACGTAAAGTATGTTGTATTAATCAATCAAGAATTAAACCTGGACGTTCTATTATAGTATTTTTATTAATATGTAATTTAGCCTTATGGCTTGTAAATACATTTGAAGTAAGAAGTGCTGAAACACAATTATCATTATATAGACAATATTTTGGTGTACGTACATGGTCTATTATAACATATTGTTTTATACCATTAATTATATTTTTTCGTTTTCATTCAACTGTATGCTTAGCTGAATTATGGACAAAATTATATACATTAAAATAAATTATTATGTTTTTTAAAAATAAAAAAAAAGTGAATTATTACAAATCATTGTTTTACTTTATCCCTCCTTCTCTCTCTCTCTCTCTCTCTAACTCCCTTACACATACACACACACACACAAACGATTCAGTTTACTTTATCAAATCAAATCAAGTAATTGTTTGTTTCAGATGCCTCTAGAAATATAACTAGGATACCTTTTATAGATTATATATACATAAATAAAACACGGTTATGATATAATACATTGCTATTTTTTCAGTTCATTCTTTATTGATAACAATGATCCTCAACTATTCATATATATTAATACTATGTACCGTTAATGGATAATATTGTAGTGAACAAGAATAATAATGAGGACAATCGAATGTATTTAAGCATAAATTACAAACTATCTTACAAAATTTTATATGGTTAACATCATTAGTCAATTGAAGCTAGACCACCATGGATACCTGGAAGCACTGAACGGCCGTTTAGTCCTACTGTAGAACTCCTCAGCAGTGCGCATCCACGACCCGCCTCGCGGGATTCGAAAATTTACTAAAATATTCACAAAACCCCTTTCGATAATGATCATATGCTCACTAGTGACTGGCTACATGAGGTAATTCCTGGAGTTCTAGTGAGAAGTCGTGGCCAGTGGAGCTAATCCATGTCAAGTAGAGACAGGTATCTACCTCAGTACAATGGAAGTTAGTCGCGCAATTTCGTGGATTGGTTGAGGTTAGACATTAACACCGCTGGATGTCGGCTCAGCGATCTATTGGTTAAGTGCTCTGGGGCGAGACCGGTAGGTCCTCGGTCCGAATCTCGCGAGGCGGGATCGTGGTTGCGTACTGCTGAGGAGTCCCACAATAGGAAGCAACGACCGTCCACAGCTTCCAGGTTTTCCATGGTGGTCTAGCTTCAATTGACTCATGATTTAAGCTATATAAAAATTACTAAAATCTCCACAATAACCCCTTGTGATATCTTACAAAAATCTGATAACCATACAGTGAATAGTTAATTTGCAGATTATTAATCAATTGACTCAACCTTGACCATCCTTTATGTAAATATCACTTCATCGTCTCCGATTATTATTGTCCATGCATTTTCACACCAATTTCGCTTCGTTCCAATTTTTTCCTTATCGATCTTCTACTGAAATACATTCTATGCTTGCCCATCACCATATACGACTTATGTGGATGTAAGTAGTCAACACTACAATATTATTGTGAAATGAACTTATTACCTTTAATTTATTTAAATATTACTTCAAAAATAAAATTGTCAATACTTTAAGAACTTAATAATGAAAATAAACTACTGTAGTAGTGAAATACTATTCAAAATATCATGTGACATATCACTAATTATTCAGTTGGCAATCCTTATATTCAGAGGAATTGTCCAAAAACTACAAGACTGATGTATAAACGATTTATATAAAATTAAATGGGAGCTCTTTATTTGTAAATACAGTAACGCCAAGGAGAGAAAAATCATAGCAAAAACTGTTATATCTAGTGGGTACATGCCGTGTTTAATATATGACGTGATGATCCCCGCCAATCAGAGAGGAGTGAATTATCGATCAGAGCAATGATAAATGAAAAACCGTATGAGGAGTATTGAGTACTTATCAGTCCTGTTTTCTGCCTAGCCCAGCCAGTTAAGTCCAGTACACCAATAACAGCCTCTGCAATATGAATCATTATTCTCAAACATACTGGGTTTATATACCACACAAACAGACCACATCGTACCATACAATATGAAACAACATTTGTGCAAGATTGTAAATAGAGGGAACAGTAGTCAATAGACTGTGAATAACTAAGGAATGATAAATCGTACAGTAATAGTCAATCCGTCAAAATAAACCTCATAATAAAAGTAACAATAATATGAATACTTAAGTTACTTACCAATTATACAACAGGGAATGTACATATCATATTGGTCCATAAATAGTCCTCAAAGTTACCATTCAGGATTATCCTCGGGATACAACAGTATTTGGAATCCGAAACCAGGCAGACATCAAGTATAAAAGAATTATTAGTTCACACAAATACCACGAATACATAGACTTAAATAGAGCCAGAAAACCTAACTAAATATGGTTGCTTCTTAGACCAAACAACAAATGTTCATGTTAATGAAAACTAAAAATTGTTCAACATAACCAGAAAAAGGTTTAAGGTTACTGTGGGGTCATTATGATAAGATTTTTTTTTCACGAAAAGAATGGGTAACCCTAGTATGTCGATAGGGTGATAAATACATCAACAGAAGTTGAATCTATTTGCTACCGCTTTTTAAGTAGAAAAAAACCTTGTGATTGTATTGCTTATAATTCTGCTTTTCTTTGTTTACAAAGACCTTATTTATCATAACCTGTAATTTTTTTCAGGTACATTAGTGGCTCACCTTTTTTAGACTCCACTTACTTGGATTGGATGGTTTAAATCATTCCGTCCTTGAGTTGAGTTACGTTTACCGTTTGTTATAATCATTTATTATTCCCAATAATTGATTAAAGGGTCTAGTATTGATACACTTGTGCACACTTCTGTGACCAATTTACTGAATTTCTATCTACTTATACTTTTTTCCATCCTCCTAAAAGATATTTGCGACAAACTGCTTGATTTTCAAGCTATCCAGCATCAGTTCATAATTTGAGCATCAGTAGATTCCCATATGTTCGAGCAAACGGAGCAAATTATTCGGTTTGAATGTCTACTCAGCCGTTCATTGAAGTGTTCATTTTAGGGAGACCTCCACAGACGGAAGTGTTGAAGTTCTACAGCAAATTTGGAAAATTTGATTCTTGCGTCTCCCATCTCTAGTTGACCTCTTGAACCAGGAAACTTTAAAAATAGTTAGTTACGATATTGAACTATTCATTAGACGATCAGAATAGGGATCTGCGGTTCGTGTTTAGAATACGGGGCTGACGGGAATATCCAATGAAAATAGTCGTAATTAACATCATACCAGTATTGTTGTATCAGTGAATGAACTTACTATGACTGTTATATGAACAGGTTTCTGTGATATTGTTCGTTCATTAGTTCTGGTTTGGCAATCGAGCACTGTTAACTGCACTGTATTTCATTCTCTATAAACACGACAATGTCCTAATCGCCGCACTTTTCATTGTCCACTTTCCTTAGGATTTAATAATACAATATCATAAAACTAGCCCCTTTGTTGCTTTTTGTATTCCAATGAGGCAAAAGATGAAGATCTGTAATAGAGTTCGTCACCACTATACACAACAGTACTACTATGAACTCAAATCAAACAACTAATTTCGAAACAAACTTATACTGATTCACTTTAAATGCAAGCACATCTCTACAACAGTTAACTGATCATGATTCAGTTTAGCACACCTACATTTTCTGTAACTTCCAAACGCACTCAATAATCACTTGAAGTGCATAGAAGCTAATTTCAGTAACCTCTTACTCCTGTAGTGACCTACTTCTCATGACGAGAACGCGATTGGTATAATGGAAAAAATTATTATTATAATCAATTGTACCAGTGATTGTTTTACTCTACTTGTTTGTTTAACTGTGCCAAAGCACTTTTCGTCCTGTTTCATCATCTTGTTCGCGCGAACTCCCTTACGCTCTACCATTTCGCCTGTACTCTTTGGCACGTCTCGGTACTCTTTAGATACCACGAGTTCGCCAATAAATATACCTTATCTGGACGAATAACAACCTTATGGTTTTCGGCCTATCGAGGTATCCAAGTCGATATTTGTTGTGTAATCTTATTGTAGTGGTGACCATAGTCAATCGTGACTCAACGCCATATACACTCCTCTCCACTTCATGCTCGGTCAAATGCAACTCCTTTGTCATATAGTTCGATTTCATTGAAGTATGCCATCTCGAATTACAGCCTTTTGAGCGCACCATTTTGAGTTTGATCCAGACAATTGCACATAAAAATCAGAATCTGCTTTCGAATTAATGAATTCCATCAGTCGTCATATAAGTAGAGCATGTTCTGTAGTATTTGGGTTTTGTACTTTACCCCAACACTAATACATGAGTGGACTGTTGACTGACAACATAAAGCGTCCTTTGTCACTTAATAACTTCGATTCCATAATATCTTCACAATTCCCTTGATTCTTGTACTGGCTAACAGCAATTTGAAAATGCATAACCCACACTTGTAAGGTATATGAATAACTAGCCTAAAATATTGTACCTCATTATCACCAATGCCGAATGGAACATCACCACATAATATTTTAAGGTGAGGAAACATAACTAACATAACATAACTATCACGGAAAAATCATTAGGGCTGATGACTTGTGTGATCTTGAATCAAACTCAAGAACCTTAAACTTAAACTGCTTCAGAGCACATTACAGCTAGTTCTATCACCATTATCCAATTTTGCTCGATTAAAAGTGAACTTATAAGAAGTATATCGAGATTTGAGTGAACAGTGTTAATGATAAGCTGACCCAGTGTAATGCTTAAATAAATCGATGACTTCTTTGGATTGATGACTGTTGTGATTTTGAATTCCAAATACAATACATTCGTTCGGGCTCATCTAATACTTCTTGATTACATTGAGTTATTCCTGGAATTACTAGTTTATACTACAATTCAAATACTTCTGATTACCATATTGGCGTTGCGATTGAGCCTGTGATGGAACGGTTAAATATAAATTCAGATTTTAATGCTTTTGAGAAGTACATGGAGAGGTTCGAAATCTGGGCTATGACCAAGGAAGATGATGAAGATTTTAATATTGTGGCTCATTTCCTTACATTCATCGGAAAAGAAGTATACAGTCTTATAAAGACTTTGGCACTTCCAGAAAAACCGATTTCACTCCCCTATTAAACTCTCAAGCAACTACTGTTGGATCATGTAAAGTATACAAATTCTGAATGCGGTAAGAGAGAAAAATCTGGTAAAATGACTCGACAGAACATCAGGAATTCCACTACTTTA